GGACACCAGATACATGAAGAATGAGAGCAGTGCCATCCACAGTGAGGGAAGTCAGTCAGTCACCAAGTCACCAAGGGCTTCCAGCTGCTCCTGACTGGTCCCTGTTGCCTGGAGAATAGATTCTGTTTGGGTCCAATGATGATATTGATATACATCCTGCGTACCATCACAGGGGTTGAATTTAGAGTCAAGAGGCAGTACACCAAAGTCTTTGACCCTCTGTTTCAGAACTATAACACTGTTTCAGAACTATAACACATGATGTGTACACACCTGTTTATGGCAGGTTTGCTTGTAGCAGGTTAAAGTTGTGTGGAATAATATTCAGCCACAAAAACAAATTATAGGATCTGGCACAGTGTGGCTGAATCTCACAGCCAGGATGATGTACACTGTAGTGTGGCTGTTAAATACTTTCAAAGGCCCATGTGTTTGTAGGCTTGGACCCTAAGGTGGGACTGTTGGGAGATAGTGGTTTTTTTAGAGCAGAGGCCTAGGAGAAGGTCTTTAGGATAGTGGAATGTGCCCTTGAGGAGGATTAGGAGACCTGGCCTCTCTCTCTTTTTGCTTCCTGGATAGGAGGTGAGTAATTTTGTTCTCTGACACAGTGTGCTGCCTTGGCATGGGGCCATTTTGCCATGGAACCCCAAAGCTGAAGGCAGATGATACTTTCGCTTTATTAGCAGCTCATATCAGGTGTCTGTTATGTTGACAGGAAGCTGATGAGCAGGGAGGGGAGTCAGATAGAGGATGAAGACTGGAGGCTCCAGTTTATACTGTTTAAAACAGCTCTAACAAATCTATGTCAGGGGTCCTCATAGGGGTGGCCACTGAGAGGTGGCCATTATCAGGAGGGGCACAAGGGAGCGATCTGGATGTTGATTCCAAGGATGTGTTTACTCTTTGGACACTAAAAAATATGGTCTTCCCTGTGCAAATCTGAGTCTGTTCACCTTCTTTTAAAAGGATCTACATGGGACTAGAGAGATAGCTCAGTAGTTAAGAACATGTGCTGCTCTTCAGGAGGACTATTTCCAACACCAACATTGGGTAGCTTACAACTATCTATAACTCCAGTTCCAGGGGGTTCAATGAGTTGCACTTACATGTATAGATACACACTCAGACAAGTAATTTAAAATAAATCTTTTTTTTTTTTTTTTTAAAGGACTTTACCCTCTCCATGTTGTACCTCCTCTGCGTTCCTTTGCCCTCAGGTGTCACTCTTTGTGGCATGGATGATGGCCTCCCAGGGATTCTCCTGGATCATGTAGACCATGTTTACTTCTAAGGTTGGCTGTTCCCTGCAGGGTTCCTGCCTACTGTAAGGCAATTTTTTTCAAGGGGTGAGAGTTCCTACAGGCACTTGTGAGCACTGTTCCCTGGGCAGTCAGGCCCTAAAGAACATGTGTCAAGAGCCGGGCGGTGGTGGCGCATGCCTTTAATCCCAGCACTTGGGAGGCAGAGGCAGGCGGATCTCTGTGAGTTCGAGGTCAGCCTGGGCTACAGAGTGAGTTCCAGGAAAGGCGCAAAGCTACACAGAGAAACCCTGTCTCAACAAAACAAAACAAACAAACAAAAAGAACATGTTTCAAATACACAGGTGCTGTGGTGCCCTTTCCTCAACTAAAGATAGGGCCACTGAAGTGAGCTTTGCTTCCAGTGAGTCCTGAGAAGACCTAACCACATACCCAGGACCCCCTCCATCCTATTGCTGGACTTGGCTGTGGTGAGTGACTTGGCTGATGTACTTTCCTCTTAATGAAATGACTGTGGCCTGAAGATGCTTCTGGTCTTCCCTTCTGTTTCTGGATGTTACTGGGTGTAGCACCCTGCCCTTACTCGAGAAATGGGTCTGCTGTGTGGCATCGGTGGAATGTGATTTGTGTTCCACAGTGTCTGTCATACTCTTACTGGTTTCCAGAGGGTGAACAGTTCTCTGCTGTTTGGATGATGTAGGGCTGGGCTCCCCGGAGGAGGAAGGAGGGGCCTCCTGCCTGCTGAGCTGCTACTCACCATGGCAACAGCTCCCTGTGGCTCTGGGCTCCCTGACAGCTCAGGATGTCTCAGACCTTACAGGCCCCATGCCTTGGAGGATAGTATATTTGGGGTCCTGGCTAGCCTGAAATCCAGTTGTTTTCCAGGTCTGCAGTTCACCTGCCACCTGCCCAACCGCTCTAACTCAGGAAGGTACTGAATGTTTGTCAAAGATTGGCCCCAGAGCCCAGGACTCCCCTCATCATGTAGACAGTTTATTTGCTGCCTCAGGAGCTCACTCTGTCTCCTGGTACCTGCCTGGTAGCTGATCTCAAGGGAGGGCCTTGTTTCAGTGGCTGCCCAGGACTCAGGCTCAGGTAAATGAGTAGTGAAGGGCTCCATGCCCAAGGACTGTGCTTTGGGACCAGAAGGCATCTGGCAGTCCAAACCAGGTGGAGCTCCCTGGAAACTCTCTGACTAGAAGATGTCCCCAGACCCTCACCCTGTCCCCAAGACCCTGTATAAGCCACCTTGGGCCAAGTGACACACATCTGTTGGACATTGACTCCAGGAGGCTGGCCTGGCCATGGCTCACAGAAGGCACCCACACAGGTGGTTAGCTGGGCACTGCAGCTATTATTAACCTGACAGTGACATCACCAGCAGCCAATGGGAGGCAGGTTTATTTGCAGGGCTGGCAGCTTGATAACGGTTAATTTTAGCTGGATCTTCATTCCCAACATTTGTGAAACCCCCACCAGCCAAAGAGGGGGATGCTGTCTCCCCAAACAGCTTGAAGATGGCATCTGAGGGCTTCTGGAGGAGCTGAGGAGGGACAGAGCCGGTATCCTATCCTCCACACTGCCCCTAGGAAGAATCTCGTTTTCCTGTAGCCTCTCCTTGCTTGCCCTGCCCCACCTCTGGCAGCTTCTCAGGGTCACTGTGATCAGTAACTGAGAAGCAGGCCACAGGTGAGACCCAGGCTTCAATCTGGAAGTCATACTGTCCATGGTTCTAATGTTTTAAGTCACCTACTTGCTGTGTGATCTCAGGCAGTGGACTTAGCTTTTCTTTGCCCAGTTTCCTCATAGGTTTTGGGGTCCCCAGGCCTACTTATAGGACCTTCTTTTATTTAGTATTGCTAACTTCTTAGTTGTTTAAGTACTACTAACTCTGTAGTTGAAGAGGCTAGAAAAAAGCCCAAAATTCTGGCAAGATGCTCACCAGGCCCTACAGTGGAAAGTGGAAGGCAGGAGACTCCTCCATAGGCAATTTTTATGGTAGCATTTAATCCACGGATAAGGCCAGAGCCCTCAGGACCTAAATGCCCCCTAGAAAGCCCCATCCCAGCACTATTGCCTTGGGATTCAGTCCTAACACTGAACTTGGGGGATACATGCAGATGGAAACAATAGCTTCTCAGTTGCAGGAGCTATTGAGTATCTGGCAATTGCTTAATGCTGCTGGGTTAGGAGCCTCTTAGGACTGCTGGCCTCAAGGCTGCTCAGTGGGGTTAGTGTGTTATTGCTCAGCACTATTACCTCTTGAAGGTTTGTTTTTCTGCACATTCCCAGGGTCTTCCATGCCAACAGAGGCTTCAGGGATTTGTACTGGTAGGGAAAGTATGTCCTAATGACAGGGAGGTACTTTTGGCCTGCCTCCCCTAGGTCAATGTATAGGTGTTTCAGGCAGGATATGACCTCTTGCCATCAGTGGTCAGTTCTCTAGGTGGGCAAGCTTCTGGCCTTGGGTCAGATGTACACAGAGGAAGACTATGTAGGGAAGGGGTGTCTGATGAAACTTCAAAGCTGAAGGACTGGTGGCTATTCCTAAGCATCCTGAACTCTGGACCCTTCTATTGAGTCCACCCAGCCTCCTGAATCCCAAACCAGGCCTGATCTCCATGTCAGAAGGAAGGCATTCAGTGGAGAGATGAGTTGGGCAAGCGGGTGGGGTAAATGCTAATGTCTTGCCAGGCATTTATTTTTAATTCCTGGCTCCCAGTTGACAGTATCAGCAGTCTTCAGAAGTGCTAGGTCATCTGAGAGGCCTGCCTAAGTCTCTGGCAGCCCTCTGCCAGACAGACCCTCAGGCTTCACCTTTACTCCTTCTTCATACTTGCTAGCTGCCTGTCCTACTGGGCAACCAATCCAGGGGCTCCTTCTGGGCACTGCCTCAGTAGAAGGTGCTGGGCCCTGATGTGGGCCTTCTATGTGGAAGGGACAGGCATAGGCCTGCTGTTATTCAGCACAAACACCCAAGGAACCTTTGCTTCCTGCCATACCCTGCAGTGACAAAGACTGGTGGCAGCACTGGAAAATAGGAATATCTGCATGAGATGACAAGATAGGGGTCTCTGAAGAAGCCTCTGGTGACACACAGCGGTCACAACTCCCTTAAGGCCTATTTTGGTTATCCTCATCTTCTTAGAATCCTCAAGGGCTCCCTACTGCCTACCCACGGGTCCTGAAGGAGGCTGGTGTTCAACCCTGGGCTAGTGGGGGTGGGGGTGTCTTAACTCTGTTTGGATGTGCTTGATGGTCTTAGCTAAGACGGTCCGACCAGGAATACAATCAGGAGCGTCCCTGAGCTCTAATGGGCTCCATGTATCCTCCACACCTAAGGGAACAGGTAGAAAAAGCCTCTTTCCAGGGCTTCAGAACAAGGCTGGGTCGGGGCTGGACTTGCTGATAGCTTCAAGTGCCTGCCATGTTGGGCTCCTGTGAACAAGCGTAGGGGCACTGTTCCGGGGGATCAGAACATGGAAAGCCTCTGGAAATGGAACTTCATGTTCACTGAGACTCAGCCATGAACAGGGACAGCACATCAGGACTTGCAGGGACCTTCACCTGGGCCTGGGCCTCTTCCCCCCTCCCCCCTGCCCCCGTTCCCCCACCCCCGCCCCTGGCCATTCCCACTGGCTCCCTGTCTTGTGTTCCACCTTCCTGGGGACATCTTTATGTTGGATGTGCCTTTTTTTCTGCTCTCCAGCAACCACTGTCTCTGCTATCCCAGCTCTTCTCTCAGCTGCTTCTTTCCCTTCTCTCCATCCCTGCCCCTCCCTTCCTGGCTCTGTTCCCTGCCCCCACCTCTGCGCGCTCCCCGCCCTTTTGCCTGTTTTTCTCTCCTGGTCTGCGCTCTAGCTGGCTGATTCTCTCGCTTGCTCCGGTGCATCTTTGCAGCTGCGTCCTCTCGGATCCTTGTTACGCCGGCCCGCGCCCGTGGGTGCGCGGTCCCTGCGTCCGTGCATCGCTCGCACCCCATCCGCCAGCCTCCCGGAGCCCGCCTCCCCCCGCCGGTACCGCATTGCCGTACTGCAGGGGCGCAGTGCATTGCGCCGGCACCGTCAATAGGTGGACCCCCTCCTGGAGAGATAAAACCGCCGTCGCTGCCGTCGCCAGTCCCTCTGACTGAGACTTCGGCTCTGGGTAAGGACGCACATCCCTGTCTGCCACCCTAGCTTAGGTTTCCACCGAGGGTTCGCCTCCCTGGGAACCCAACCCGAGGAAGAGGGGGACACGCGGCACCTAGCTGAGCTACACCCCTGGGTTGGGGTCTCTCGGTGGCACACTGGGCATGGTGGGTCCCGTGGCAGTCGGGCGGTGTGTCCCCTAAGTGATTGTTTACTTGGTGACAGTGGCAGGGGGCCTTCTGCTGAAACCTGCGATCACGCTGTCACCGTGACCTTGGGGCTCTCCCAGGCGCTACGGGGCTGGACAGTCTGGTCGGTGCAGGTGCTGGCGTGGTTCGGGGGCTCTGGGGGTGTCAGTGATTTGTCAGAGAAGGGCAGGGGAGGTGATGAAACCTGAGGACCCCTACCCCGCCCTACATGGCTTCCACCTTAGGATGCCCGCCTCCCCCCCCCCCCCCCCCCCCCCCCCCCCCCCCGTCGCGGGCCCCAGCTTCTCCGTTGACCTCTGCCATGCGCAGACACTGAGATCCAAGGCCTGGACCAGATGGTAAGAGCGAGGGTGAGGGCATCTCTGAGGGCACTTTCTGAGGCTGGGTCAGGGTGAGATTTTTATTCCTCTGGCTAGAACAGGACACTCACCTCTCAGCCCTGACGGCTGTCCCCCTGCTTGAGTATGGGGAGGGCCTGAGCTATTCTGGGCCCTTGCCTGGGCACCATCCAGCTGTCTCCCCTGCCAGCCTGTGGGCAGAGAGAGGAAGATGGCGCCCTCGCTTGAGGAAGGGCTGAGGAGTGCTGGCCTTTCTTCATGGTGGCAGCAGATGGGGGTAGGGCAGTGTCCCTTCCTGGGCTGTGTGTGTGTGTGGGGGGGGTGGGGTGGCGGCATGGAGGACAGGGAGGACAAGGCACTGGAGAGCTGGGCACAGTGACTCATCACAGGGCTCCTGACTGCTCCAGAGGATCTCTTGGCCTGCTGCTCTGTGATATCCCGACAGGATTAACCCTTCCTTAAGGAACTTTCCTCCAAATCAACTCTCCAAACATTTACACTCCAACGAACCATTTGGGCTAAGGTAGAGGAACAGGTGGCTTATGAGTGCAACCTGGCTGGACTGGGCTAGGACCAGGGGGCAATCATTCTTCCTCATCCAACCTCAGGTGACTGGGTGGGGGCAAGCTCTGAAACAATGCAAGAATGGTGTGGGTGTCTCTGCTGGGCCTCCTAATCACCTGTCTCCCTTGTCACTGGCCCCACAGAGTTCCTCCCCAGCATACCCTCAACCCCGAGCCAGAGCCCCCAAAGTGCCAGCCCCTCCCTTAACCAGCCAGAATGGGCAAGGAGAAGACACACATCAACATTGTGGTCATTGGCCATGTGGACTCAGGCAAGTCCACCACGACAGGCCATCTCATCTACAAATGCGGGGGCATCGACAAGCGGACCATCGAGAAGTTTGAGAAGGAGGCGGCAGAGGTGAGCACCGTGGGCCTGGTGCTTGCATTTCTCGGTTTTCTTCCCTCAGTGCATAGGATGTGGGTGTCTGGGGATGGAGGTGAAGAGGGCAGCCTCCCTCTGAGATTGGCTTCATACTGAGGAAGGGAGAATTTGTGTCCTGCCCAGGTCCACCAGAGGGCTCTCAGCCTCAGTGGGCCAGAGTGCCCTCAAGTCTTATCCTTTTGCTCCCCAGGGCTGAAGCTGTGCTGGATGTGGTGCTGCCCTCACTTGTCTTGCAACAGCTAGGGCTCAAGGATGCTATTAATAGCTGATTGATGGGCAGCAGTCTTGCCAGCTCCACTTTCTCCAGATATGCTGAGGAAGGTTGCTGGTTCAGGATGGTGCCTGGAAGTGGGGGTGGAGGGGTGGGGGGGGGGGGTCTTGGCAGTCTGTTCCTGGTTGAGACCTCTGCCCTCAGAAGAGCTGGCTCTCAGATAAGGCCAGGCCTGAGGGCAGCAACTCTGTGCTGAGCTCCTGCTCCAGTGTGTATATGGGTTTTGAGCCACAACTCTCTGTGTGTATGGGCCTGAAGCTTTTACCCTTTAGGGAGTGTTCTGAGGGGAGGTGGTAGGAGGAGCTGAGGGACTGAAGGTCACCTGGGTCAGGTCCTAGCTGGGTTTTGTCTGGTTCTGTCTGGACAGCTCCTTCAGACTGGGCAGCATCCCTGGAGTGCAGAAGGCTGTCCTGTGAGATTCTGGTAGGGAGTTGTGTTCAGCTGAGCAATGGCCACAGTTGTGGTCCAGGCTGTAGGAGTCTCACCAGGAGTCTCACTCTGGCACAAGTTGGCAGAAAGCAGCCAGCCTGCTCTTAGTGGGGGTGTTCTTCTCCTGTTTTGGTGCAAAGGGGGAAGGTGATGCCTCAGCTGTTTGGAAGTATGCATCAGCTACAGAAAGAGCTGGAAGGCAAGAGTTTTCTCAAAACCTTGACCAATTTATTTATTTTTAAAGTTTTCCTTTTTTGAAATAATAACTCAGTTTTTAAAAAAATTTAATAGTCCCATGTCCAATGAGATAATTGACCCATAATTGACTAGGGTGTGGAATCTTAGCCTCAGGTAGTGAGGAACCCTTTGCCAGAGACAGGAGTTTAATGAGGTCTGGCAACTTCCAGACGCTCATGCCCCCTGCTGGGGGACTTGTGTGTCCACAACCATTAGGAGGGGAATGGGGCTGGCTGATCTAGGTGGCTTCATTTTGTGGCAGAGCAGGGTTTGGGTGTCAGCACCAGAGAAATGGTACAGAGGTCCCTGATTCAAGGTGCTTTAGCCCAGCCCTAAATGGCTGTTTAGGGTTGTTTCCCATGGCTGTTTCCATGGCCCAGGGCAGGCCCGGCACGTGGATGTGACCCCTGAGTCCTGTGTCCTATCCTGAGTTGTGCCCCTACCCTTTCAGATGGGAAAGGGCTCCTTTAAATATGCCTGGGTGCTGGACAAGCTGAAGGCAGAGCGGGAGCGCGGCATCACCATTGACATCTCCCTCTGGAAGTTTGAGACCACCAAGTACTACATTACCATCATTGATGCCCCAGGCCACCGGGACTTCATCAAGAACATGATCACCGGCACATCCCAGGTGTGCGGGGAGGGCACCTGGCCCAAGAGCTCTCCCGTAGTCTGTCTCTTGTACTTCCTGCCAGGACAGAGCCCCACCCAGGTCATCTCCAAACTGCTTGACACAGAGTCCCTCAAGAACTGAGTCAGGGCTGATATCTCAGGTAGATGGGGTGCCTGCAGGGTTACCCCACCACTGTTAGGGCCAGCAGACAGACAGAGGGGGAAATTGTGGACATGTCCTTTACAGACAAATTCTCGTAGAAGAGGCCACATAACAATGAGACGTGGGTAGAAAATCAGTCAGACCGAACAATCACAGAATAGAACCAAAGGCCAAATGACTCACCCAAGGGCACATAGCCTGTTGGTGGTGAAGCTGATGGCCAGTTCTGGGCCTCCTTGACTCAGAGCCTGGTGGAGGAGTCCCCTGCTACCTTTGAGGCAGAGATCCTGAGTCTCTCCCCAGGATAACTGCCCAGGCCCCATTTTGTGGGTGGTAGGGCTACGTAAAAGGCTGGGCCAGGGGCTTACTGTGTCTGACCTGTTGGATAGGCGGACTGTGCGGTGCTGATCGTGGCAGCAGGTGTGGGCGAGTTTGAGGCAGGCATCTCCAAGAACGGGCAAACCCGGGAACATGCACTCCTGGCCTACACTCTGGGCGTGAAGCAGCTCATTGTGGGTGTCAACAAGATGGACTCCACAGAACCAGCCTACAGTGAGAAGCGCTATGACGAGATTGTCAAGGAGGTCAGCGCCTACATCAAGAAGATTGGCTACAACCCAGCCACAGTGCCCTTCGTGCCCATCTCAGGCTGGCATGGCGACAACATGCTGGAGCCTTCACCCAATGTGAGTGAAGATAGGTATGGTAAGGGCAGTGCTGACCTTCCCAAGAGCCCAGGGCTCCAGAACCCTAAGGCAGGGTGGGCCAAGCTTCCTTTGGTCTAGCTGAATTTCTGTGAGCACTGTAGTGATAAGTATCAGCCTTCTGGGGATACCTCCAAGTAAGGGATCTACACTTGGGCTTCTCCAGCTCAGCCTCCCCATGAGGTGAAAAGAGGAAGATGAGGCTTCTTCTCTGGCTACTGCCTGTTGGGCCCTGGATCTTACTATGGGGGAAGATCAGTTTTTTATATTCTCCCAAGCCACTGTCCTGGCTTTGGATACTGTGTATAACCAACAAAGGCCCTCCTCAGTTGACTCCCCTGAGGTCTGAAGCATGTCCCTGGGCTGGCCTGGAGAGTGGAGGAATGTCTCTTGGCTGGTCATCTGGGAAGCTTGAAGCTTCTGCAGCTCTGGGCCTCTGAGTTGGGGGTGAAGAGAAGTACATTTTTCAGAGAGAGCTTGGGACCTAGATCTTGGTCTACCCAGAGGAGACCCCTGTCCTAGAAAGGTTGGCACTCAGCTTTAGTCAGGCTCTCTGGAGACAGCTGGGGGACCAGTGCCCAGTGGTATGTGGACAGAGTCGGGCAGGCAGGGGATACTCCATCTTGCTCTTGCTGATGTGTGATTACCAGGACCTTAGAATCCCCTGGAGACCTTTGATCAGCAGGTCCTTTCCTGCCCCCTCAGCTCCCTACTGCTCTATTGTGCTCTGGGGCTCTGCTGACCTGAGGTGCCTAAGACTTTGACCTAAAGACAAAGGCAGGGGGACACACAGCCCCTTGGGTGGATTTACTTCTTGTCTGTGACAGGTAGACCATGAGGAGTTCTGTGTCAGGAGGGCTTAAAGTCATCCTCCAGAGAGGCCCTTGTGGTGGTGGTGGTGGTAGACCCTGATCTTGGAGACAGCAGAGGCTCTGGGGCTGGGGCAGAGGCTGGACTTTATCCTTGACATGACCATTGGCCAGACTTGAGCTCCTGCTCCCCTGGTTCTTACCCTGTCTAGGGCTGTGATTGACCAGGTCCCTGAGGGATTAGGGCATCAGGCCAGGTTGAGGGGCCTCATTTGTAAGTGTTGGGGACATGACAGCACAGTCTGGGGAGGTGTTTCTGTTTGTTGCTCCTTCCCTCTTTTCTAAGTTGTGTTTGTTCAGGGTCCCTGTGAGGGTGCGAAGGGGAAAAGGGGATGAAGAGCAAGACATTCAGCTTGGACAATGAATCTCCCTCCCCAGGGTGCCCCTTAGGCAGGTGCCACCTCCAGAATCTTGGAGATCTGAGGCTGAGGGTGTGGTCAGACGGGTTGCCCTATAATTGGTACCTTTTTTTTTCCTTCCCAGATGCCATGGTTCAAGGGCTGGAAAGTAGAGCGCAAGGAAGGAAATGCAAGTGGTGTGTCCCTGCTAGAAGCCCTGGACACAATCCTGCCCCAACCCGCCCCACTGACAAGCCCCTTCGCCTTCCGCTGCAGGATGTGTACAAGATTGGTGGTGAGTGAGGTCTCAGTACTGGAGCTCATTGTTCCTGCAGGCTCTGTCTCCAGCCTTGACCAGGACATCAACAAGGAACCCTCAGGCTGGTTGTCTCGACCTCTCTCAGTCACCCCTCCCACCCACCTCCACCCTTCCATCAATTCACCCAGCATCCAGTAGGATTCCTTTCCCACTCCCCACTTCCACAAGCGCTCAGCCAGGAGCTAGAGACATTAGATGGGCGTACTGAACCGACACCTCACCTGCAGGTGAGGTGTGCCTGTCTCATGGGAGCAGTTCTAGTCCAGGAGTGAGAAATGCAAGTCATTAGTCAATAGGCACCAAAGCCAAATATGAGACAAGCAAAGGGGGAAGAATGAGAATATCATGCTGATGCTTACTCCAAACAGAGGACAACTGCTGCCCTTTCTCCGTCACCCCATAATGCCACCACCTCCAAGCTTCCAGGAGATGGTAGAGGGCTGTGCTCTCTCTCCCAGCCACTTGCTCTTCAAGGTATCCCTGTGGTAGCCACACTGTCAGTGTGGGCAGGCCTGTCAGAAATGCTGGGGCTAGATGCCTCTTCAGTAGTAGAACCACAGTGCTACAGCAGGACCTGGGAGTCCTGTGTGAGCAAAAGCAATCCCAGTGAGTTGGCCCTTGCCTGGCTGAGATCCTCAGAGACAGGAGGAATGCTTGTGGTGCTCCCCCCCCCCGCCCCCCGAGGGAGACAACCCCATCTTCCTTTCACTGCCTGTCCCTTATCCTTCAATCCTGGGAACTCTGATTTAGTCTCTTTAGGGGAGACGCTCCTGCTATCACCTCACTCTCTGCCCCTGTCTCCTTTCTCCCTCCATGAGTCTATTTTCCTTGACCCCCTTCAGAGAGAAGCAAGTCCTGAGCTCTGTCTGCTTCCAGGCTCTCTGCTTTTTGCTTTGCCCTGCCCTTCTCTGGCCTGCCCTCTCACAGTACCCTCTCTTGGCCTAGGCATTGGGACTGTGCCTGTGGGCCGAGTGGAGACTGGTATCCTTCGGCCTGGTATGGTGGTGACCTTTGCGCCAGTAAATATCACCACAGAGGTGAAGTCTGTGGAGATGCACCATGAGGCACTCAGCGAGGCCCTCCCTGGTGATAATGTCGGCTTCAATGTGAAAAACGTGTCCGTCAAGGATATTCGCCGGGGCAATGTCTGTGGGGACAGCAAATCTGATCCACCTCAGGAGGCTGCCCAGTTCACCTCCCAGGTTGGTGGCTGTACTAGTGTATGGACATTCCTTCTCAGAACAGGAGGAGAGGTGGGCTGAGGCATCAGACAGTGGCTTCTGGCCCTTCCCCTGGCACTGAAGGGAAAGGCCTTCCGTTTCACCCTCATGCCACTCAGTGTTCAAAGGCTAAATGGGTGCTCAGAGTTACAGCGGGTAAGCAGAGCCTCAAGGCAGTCCTACTCTGGGGTATTTGCCCTTTAAAAATGCTTTTATTAACTTGCTGCCTGGGGTATCACTGTAGCACTTTATTTTCTTAACTGAAAAACAAAACAAAACAATCTACTTATTTTAGTGTGTGTGTGTGTGTGTGTGTGTGTGTGTGTGTGTACATGCCACAGTACATGTGTGGAGGTCGAGCGCAACTTGGAATCAGTTAGTTCTCTACTCCATCATGTGGCTTGCAGGGATTGAACTCAGGTCTTCAAGACCTGACAGCAAGCACCTTGGTCCTAGAGTGATTTTGCTGACCTCCTCTCTACATTCTCATTGCACACTCTCAATTTTAGAACAGTTTTATTGAAATGTAATAGAAGTACTATAATTATGGTTCAATTTCGTCCTGGCTTCCTTGGTTCTGGTCAGGGTTAATCTGTGCTGTCCTGGTCCTTTCAAACAGTGCAGCTATCTGTTGATTGACTCATGGTTTGCACATGCTTAGCAAGATGTTGGGGTATGAGCCCAGAAGAGGGGTCCCTGTGGCCTGAGCATTCCTTGCACAAAATCATAGGGATCGGGAGGTGACCCTGTGACTAAACCACTCCCTCTAACACTGGCCCTGTCCCAGGAGACCCAACTCATGGCTGTCTTCAACTCTGCTCTCAGGTCATCATCCTGAACCACCCTGGGCAAATCAGCGCTGGCTACTCCCCAGTCATCGACTGTCACACAGCCCACATTGCCTGCAAGTTTGCTGAGCTGAAGGAGAAGATTGACCGGCGTTCTGGCAAGAAGCTGGAGGACAATCCCAAGTCCCTGAAGTCTGGTGATGCTGCCATTGTTGAGATGGTCCCCGGAAAACCCATGTGTGTGGAGAGCTTCTCACAGTACCCACCCCTCGGTGAGCGGGGTGATCCAAGGTGTAACCCAAGATGGTGGTTGATCCAAGCGGGGTCAATACATTGCTGGCAGGCAGGGTCAGGGGTTCCTTTACTGTGGCAAACTACTGAGCAAAGTGCAGCATTTCATTACACACACAGACACAGACACACACATTGACAGACAGACAGACAGACAGACACACACGCACGCACGCACACCACCGCCCCTCTCTGCTTGACAGACAGATCTGGGATAGTGCTTCTTTTATGAGGAAGAACCCCTAAGGGATTTCCCTGGCACCAACAGCAAGTCGAGTGATTTCCCCCCTTACACCCCTTAAGCGGCGTTAAGATGTTCTGCGGGTGCACAATGCACCTGCGCATTGCATCCTGGGCGCCCCCACAGTTTACGCATCTCTCCCGACAGGCCGCTTCGCCGTGCGCGACATGCGGCAGACTGTGGCCGTGGGTGTCATCAAGAACGTGGAGAAGAAGAGCGGCGGCGCCGGCAAGGTCACCAAGTCCGCACAGAAGGCGCAGAAAGCGGGCAAGTGAAGCGCGGGCGCCCGCGGCGTGGCCCTCCCCGACGGCGCCGCGCCGCGCCCCCAGCCCCGCCCCCGGCACTGGCCCCGTCCCCTCACCCGCCCCAGGCGCGGCCCCTCCCCCCCGGCTCCCCGCCAGGCGCATGTCTGCACCTCCGCTTGTAAGAGGCTTTACGTCAGCGACTGGATGCTCGCCATCAAGGTCCAGTGGAAATTCTTCAAGAGGAAAAGCGCCCCCGCCCCAGGCTTCCGCACCAGCGCTCACCACGCACGCTCAGTGCCGGTTTTCCCAATAAACTGAGCGACCCCAGAGCCGTGTGTGCCTACTGCTGGGGCCCTGTTTATCAAAGTCCCGTTACCCAAGGTGTTCAATCTGGCACATTTCAGGTGACACACTGCCAGGTGACCTAGCCAACTGCCCTCCTAAGCTTCGTGGGTAGGCGGTGGGGCCCACTGCGTGGGTGCTGGAAACCCCCAGCTAGGTGAGGATGGAAATGACCCATTTTGTGTGCCTTGGTGGGATGTGCAAGACAAATCATAGAACCAAAACTGTGGCTGGGTGTCCTGAAGGGCCCCCTAAGGAGCCGTGAGACCTGAGAACTCCTCCCCATGAGTGTGGGCACACACTCCTTTCCCTAGGTTTCCGGGGGAAGGTTCTGACAGAAACCCATCTTGCTCACACTCCTGCCTGCTGAGCCAGCTCCATGTCCGTGCTGCCCCTTATCCCAGATTTTCACTCCTTAAACTGCAGCAACGCCTGCTCCAGAAGCCAGGAGGCCAATGGCTTATGTCAGGTGGGCTGGGATTGGTCCATTTGTCCTAGAACATGCCATGACTTTGATGGCCAGGCAAGGCAGATGGTAGGACTATGCTCCACTCACTGCTGTCCCAGGAAGCTGTCCTCTCCACTCCCCCCACCTCTCAAGGTCTGTTCTTGTTATTGCAGGTAGAAGTTGGGTAGGGTGAGCAGATTCCCTCCACAGGGCCAAAGTAAAGCTTTCTGGAGCCTCAGGCAAGGGTTCTGGTCCTTAGTATTCCCACAAGGTCCCATTGTGTCAATCTCCTAGGGCTACTGTAACAAATGGCCACACATAGTGTGAGTTTGGAGCCAGATAGTGGTGCAATCAGCACCACTGGGCAGAGGTGAAATGTTGTAGTGCTCTCCTCTCCTGGCTTCATTGGCATGTTTGGGCTAATGACCCAACCACTGCAGTCTGCATCTCTCTCCTATAAGGATACCTGTGGCTGTACTCAGAGTATATCTGGAGAACCCGGATAAGCTTCCACCTTCTCAATTGCATCTTCAAAATCCTTCCTGACACATATTTGCTGTTCCAGGTTTCAGGTGTCAGGTTCCTGATACCTTCAATACATTCAGCCTCTATGCTAGATGAAGACAGAGATAATGCAGCTGTGATGGGCAATTCTGACATCCAGCGAAATGGGCACACAGTCCGAGTTCTCACCTCAGCATCCATGAAGGCAGGATAGGAAGGGAGAAGACCTGCATGGCTGGGAAATGATGTGTTTGGGAAAGTGGTTCCTCAGGCTGCTGATTGCCTGCAGACCCACACAGGGTGGGTTTGAACTAATGAATGCCAGGCCTCTGAGGGAAGGCTGTTGGATACAGACATCCAGGTGAATCTGAACTTCAGATGGATATCAGATACTTATCAGATACTAACCTATCAGATACTTTTTTTTTTTTTTTTTGAGACAAGGTTTCTCTGTGTAATGGCTCTAGCTGTCCTGGAATTTACTCTGTAGACCAGGCTGGTCTCAAACTCACAGAGATCCACCTGCCTCTGCCTCCCAAGTGCTGGGATTAAAGGTGTGCGATACTACCACCTGGCAGATACTTTTTAATATAAAAGATTTGAGACATTTATAGTAAAAAGGAGTGCATTGTTTATCTGGAATTCTGATTTGGGTGTCCTGTATTTTGTCTGATGGCTCTATCCAAGGACACTAGGTATCTCCTGGACATCTGGGTCACCATTATTGGCAGGGGGGATCAGGTAGAGTGTGTTAGCACAGGAAGTTTTTTTTTTTAAAGGAAGCTGTTTTAACACTTAGTCCTCTTAGAATTGGGGTCAAATTAAGAAAATTCATTAGCCCAAGACAGGACAAATGTAAGAAACAGCCCCTGGCTAGAATTAAAGGAAGCCCTCTAGGCAGACCCTACCTCATCCTCCTGTCCCTGGTTGCTGTAGCAAACTTTGGTGTCCTCTGGGAACCCTGGCTATGCAAACACTACAGGTTGTCCCAGTTCTGCCCAGCTAGCTGGTCACAGTGGCATGTGTTGGGCTACACTGTCCTTCACTAGGCACACACATTCCAAGGATTCCCTGGGTTGCACTCCTGGTTCCCACTGGAGTCATTGGTAAATGAGTGTCTACTGACTCTGGTGGCCCAGAAGGTGGAACCTCTGGGGAAGGTCTTTAAGCCTTGGGCCCCTCTTCAAGGGTGCAGTGATGATGAAGGCAGGCACAAATTCCTGGGTCTGAGGCCTGAAGGGTTCTGGACCTTACTGTAGTCTCTATTCCAGTTCAGGGCAGAACTCTATGGTAGACTGGAGAAGACAGAAATTTGGACTGAGTTCCTGGTGTCTGTAGTCAGTGGGGTCAACACATAGAGTCACCTCTGAGACCACCAGGACATTCCCTTTGTCCTCTGAGTTAGGGCTCCTTACGCCCATCCTACCTATATCTCTTCAGAAGGCAAGGACTGATTCTCCACTTCCTACTGGGTTTCTGGGGAATTCCAGGAGCTACCCACACTTAGGCCAGGAGGGACATCAGAGGACAGTAGCCACTGACCACATATCAGAGCTGAAAGATAAAGGGGTAAGAGATGCATCTGCTTGCCTGAGGAATGCTCAGCACTAGTTTGAAGTATGAGCACACAGTGACCATTGTACACGCCTTTACTGTTGCCTGAGCCAGAGCTGAGATGGAGGGGAACTTAGAGCAGAGAGAACTCAGGGCAAGTGGGAGCTGAGGAAAGGCGGCACACACAGGAGACTGAAGGCTGGCCCCTGGACATTGGCTTGGGGTACGTAGTAGGCAGCTAGACAGGAAGGTTGTGGGATAATGATGTATCACCATAGCTGAGAATGCCCAGGGGCCTGACAGGGGTAACAGTATCAAGGTTGGGGTTGTTGTTTGGCTGAAGGGGATCCCAGGCCCCTTCAGGTGTCCATGATGGCAGCCTCCAGGGTAGGGGACACAGTCCTGAGGCACATTTCTGAAGGCAGTGTATAGGGTGGGGAGAGGGTCAGGGAGTGCCACGCTATGCTGGGTTAGTGAATAATTTACAGCAGGCTCCACCAGTGCTGACCAGCAGCCTCCATACATACTTTGAAGGCCTTTGAAAGATTCATGAGGCATCCAGAGTGGGACGTCAGGGTTGTTGAGCTGGCCAAATATGATTTGTCTCTTGCCTGGCCTTCCCAGGGGTGCTGCACCCTCCTGTAACATTTGTAGAGGGAACTTTATTTCCTTCCCTGGGATCCTGAGGGTGACAATATGTCATATAATGGTGGCTTCTGAGCCCCACTTTAAGGACTGAGCCTTGTGGCAGCTTTGGAAGCCTGGAGCTTTCCACATTCTGTGTTATAGTAATGACCTTCTTTGAGGATAGCTGTGGGTACCCATAGGAGCTTCTGAATGGGATTGTGGGTGTGAGGATTAGTGTTTGCCAATGTGTGCTTATGTGGGCCTGGGACTGTGTGGGTGTAGCCTGGGTGTGGAACTGCACATATGTGGGGCTGTGTAGCAGAGAACCTGAAGGAATGTCTCAGAGATGTTAGAGGTAGCTTATATATGCACATGTATATGCTTGTGTGAACGTGCTTGCTTACCAGTATATGCTTTGTATATATGTGTGTGTGCATACACACAGAGACTGGTTTCATGCCTGTGTTTTAGCTCTACCTCTGCTGCTGGCTTGCTGCTGGGTTGGGGCTGACTGTCCAGGAGGGGCCTTTTGGGTGGCTGGACCAAAACAGCCCTGGGGAAGCTCTTTCTGTTATGTATGGAGCTAGTGTTAATCATGAGGACTGTACTGGCACATGCACGGGACTGGTGTCCACTTCTAGACTCTGTTTATTGGTGTGAGGGGAGTCTCTTCCCTAGAGATGGTGAATGAGGACCCTAAATGAGATCTGGAGAGCTTGAGGTGCGGGCTCAGTTCTGGCTTCCTTTGCTGTGTCTGATGTTTCATTTGGGGTTGGTTGGCAGAAGAGGGCCATGGGCAGCAACAAGGCCATTGAGGCTGCATGAGGCTGAGAGCTGCTCAGGTGTGGCATTGGTCATGGCTCCTGCTGGTGTGTTGGTCAACTTAGTCCCACCAAATCAGAGTCAGAATTTGGATGGAGGGTCTGAGTGACAGGAGGCACAGAAACTGGGATAGTGTGAGAGAATGTGGGGCCCTACTTATTCCTTCTTTGTCTCCAAGCATCTCGAAAGAGGGCAGGTGATGAGGCCTTTGTCCTGGCTACAGTGTAGGGGTGGGCCACTATCTGGCCACAGTCCGCTCCCTACTCTTCCTGGCACTGGCTCATTTTGTTCTTTGGAAGATGCTACAACACAGGTTCAGTGTAACCTGGGGCAAATGGCAGGACCTGAGGGTGGAGCAAGAACTAGGGTGCATAGGGAGTTGGGGGCTGTAGTAGAAACTGGGGGTGTAGCAGGAGGAGGATACAGCACAGCTGGGGACTATAGTAGGAGATGGAGGTATAGCAGAGGCGGGGGTACAGAAGGAACTGGGGGTGCAGCAGGATCTTGGGGTGTGGCTGGAGCTGGAGATGCAGATATAGGCAGAGCTTGTATAATGAGTCTGGGGAGGGATTTGTGGAGCAGGGAGAAGTTCACATTCTCTGGTTATCTCCCTGAAGATGCCAAAAAAGGCTGCCACCCTGCCTTGCTCTAGGTGTCAACATCCTGAGTGGGAGGGAATCTTCCAGCCCAGGCCTGTGCAGGGTGTGGCGTGGGTCATAGGCATGAGGCCTCTTCCTTGTAGTCCCACCTCCTAGTAGGTTGAGGCTGCTTCCAACTGGTCCTTTGGCTGTCTTTGGTACCCTCTCACTGCTTCCCTGATGCATCCCTGATGGCCTCAGTTTTTGTCTTGATTGCTGAGGAAGGCAGAGCCTGGCAGAGACGAGCCTGGCAGAGATGTGCCTGGCAGAGATGCACCTAGCCCGCTAGAGCCGGCTCATTTATTTTTACCTTAACACTTATATAACACTGTGCAGCATCGTTTCAATGCTCCACAAATCCCATTCCACTGTCATCGAATCCTGCAGTGTGA